CATTCTCACAATCAGCGTTTCAAAGACAAGAAGAATTTTGACTTGTTTTGTTTGTTAACTGCTGTTTTTGGCCGCAGTTCGCCTTGCGAATGTTTCACAAGAATGCTGGGTTGTGAACAAAACTTTCGCCCCAGGCGGGACTAGAACCCGCACCTCTCGCTTTCCGGGCAAGTGCGCTACCAGTTACGCTACCGGGGCACCATTTCATTCCAACTCAGCTTTTCATGGTATTCGTACCAAGTTGCTATCAGTTACTTAGATGCTTGAAATGGTGCCCGCGGTAAGCGTAATCTGCTAGCGACTTGACGGAAAGTGAGAGGTGCGGGTTCTAGTCCCGCCTGGGGCAAAACTTCTGTTCACAACCCAGCATTCTTGTGAAGTAGAAGAAGTTAGTATAGAAACGGAGGATCATCTCCCTATCGAATAGTGGTAGTCTAAAATGCAGAAGGTTGCTGGTCGCTGGTCACGGGTCTTCGACTTGGTGCTGGTGATCACTTCATTTCATCTTCGAGTGAGCCTCTCTTACCGCGTATTTCTCGGCAAAATACTGAGCCACCGACTTTATGGTTTCTCGGCCGTCTTCGGTAACGCCTTTGAATCTGAAAGACTTACGAGAATTTCGAATACAAATTTGATTAAAGCCATTTTAGTGAGTCTATTCTTACGTGAGTTGGTCTGCTGGCATTTGAAGGCTGTTGACACGGTAGACACGAACGGCGCCCTTGCGGTGTGATATTCTGATTTTTATGCCCTTCACTGCTTCGGCGAGGATTTTCATCTCGTGATTAGACAGCGAGAACTCCTTGTACAGGGTGCTGGGCTGAAATGACCGGTAGGTTTAACGACAGATCCAACCAGGGGCCGTATGCTGAATGTTGGGGAGGGGACGGGGATGGGGAAAGGTTGGGGAGGTTCGTCGCAGGACCCTTTTGGCAACGGTCGCACCTTTGATTTTGCAGCTTTGTTCTTCATCCTTTTACTGTTCCTGATGTATGCTCGTACCCTTCCCTACCCCCGTTGTCCAGTGGGTCCTGCGACGAACTTCCCCAACCTTTCCTCATCCCCGTCCCATCCGCAGCATTCAGCATACGGGCCCAAGTCTTTTCAATATTCGCTCCAACCGACAGGGTTCGCTTTCTCAGAGGCTATGATACACGGTGTTCTCACCGATAGCATTCCAAGTGGCTCTTCATGTCGCTGCGGCGTAGTATGTGTGGTCCTGGGCGGGTACGTGTGGTAACCACCACGTCCGGTGCTCGTGGCAGTGCCACCTCGGGTTGTACCGTATGTGCGTCCCGGCTGAGCAGTTGTGCCGTAACTGCTGCGAGTGGTGGACGACGGATTACGGTACGCACCAGCACGTTCGTTGAGCACATCGCACATAAACTGGACCATGGAGATTTTCGCTTTGTAGAAAGCGGTATGGGCAACTGGAAAGTAATGAGTACTGAAACATTCCGCAGGTGAAGGAGAAACCGTGGCATCTACACCTGAAGACGAATACCTACCATCGATGTTCAGAAGTGGTTTCCATCCGCTTGCCACATGGGCCGATGAAAAGAAGCCGGTCCACATTTCCTTCCCGCCTTCCAAGTCGAGTGCCAGCGCACCGTTAATGGGAATTCGATAACAAGACGACTTCCATGAGTAGAAGTTTGCGGCATTGCTGAAAAGGATATCATATGCAGCTGCTCAACGGTAATCACAGATGTATCGTTCTCCCGCTTCTGAGATGCGCAAGAAAGGGCGTTAGGATCCTTGCAAAGTCCGTACCAAAGGCGCCATTTTTTCTCACTGTTAGCAAAGGATCCTCCGCGGATAGAAGCTCTGCCCCATTATCCTCTCCGAAAAACGATACCCCTTAGGCCCCTAGCCTCATGAGCATAGCAAAAAAGAACGGAACATAAGCGTTAGTTTCGATAATACTAATCCTACACACAAGACAAAATGATCACTCTTTCCGTGGAAGATTCCTTTAAGGTATCGTTTTCTGTGGTAATGAGGGCGGAGCTTTTTCCGTGGAGGATTCCTTTAACCATATTGCTGGAGTAGAGCGG